AAACCTCTCTCAAAGTGTCCACAAGGATACATATGCCCATTAGAAGAAAAGTAAGAATATACATATTATTAATCATATCAGAGAATAAAAAAGTTAAGATTGATATAATATATTTATATTGAATGACTACTTTAAAATAGAGCAACTTATTTGCCTTATTTTTCAAATTCCTTGGGCAAAAGTCACATAAATTCTGAAGTAAAAAACAAATGTAAATTTCTGGTACTGTATTAATATCAGATGATCATGATTTCAATTCCCAGAGAAGAGAAAAATGTCTTGTCTTTTGAGTCTTTTTCTTTCACGAAAAAAACAACTAAATCACCCTGACTGCTACATTCATGCATATTTAAATCACTTCCCCTTGATTAACATTAAAAAGAAAGATCTCTGCCCAAAAGAGTTGTAATGATTTTTTTTCTAGTGAAACGATCATCATTCTACAAATAATTTGCCCAGTGTCTGTAGCCATTCATAACATACATAATATTTGCAAAGCACAGTTTAAGTACACTGCCTTTTATTAGCATTTTTTTTTTAATAAAAGGGATGCATATCAGAGTATAAGAACTGGAAATTACTTCCACAGTTTAAGGAATTAATAAGAGAATGCTGGTTCAATTTCTTAAAGATGGAAAGCTTACCAAAACGCCATCAGAGTCTGTGAACTACTTATAATAAACAGCAGGATCCCCACTGGCTAGGCTGCCGACTACACAGCACCCAACCCCCGCCCCCATGTTACCATTTTAAGATATTCTGTCAATGCTTAGTTAAAAATAAGACTTACTTAAGAGACCAACAACAAAAAAATCAATTAAACTTTTATTGAAGTCTATCCAGTGGCAAGAATACCTTGTGTATTATATTATGGTTTAGACATTCAATAAAGAATTCATTAAGAATGATTCTCACAATGTACTCATCAAAACAGCTTTAAATATTTTTAGGAGCGCATTAAAGAGCCCGTCCTGAGTTCTAACAGGTTTTAAATTTAGAGTGTCAACCAATTACTTTTATTTTTCTGTCAAGTTACGCCACAAGGTTTAAAAAAAAAAAAATCTTGACTATCTCTTCCCATTTTGAGGCCAAATTATTACTTGACTAATTTACTGAAAGTTTCCACCTCACCACAGAAAAGTCCAAAGATTCATCTATGATGAAAGCATAAAAGACATGCCAAGTTTTCAGGTTTTCAAAATACATAGATCAGCCTTATCAATGGGTTTGCGTTGTCGACAAGTTCCGGAACTGCAGCAGAAGGCTGCCACATAAAATCACCAGCACAGAGCAAGTGCCAATTGTAAACCGCTGGTTCAATTATTCGTGGCTAAAATAAGTGTACGACCAACGGCTGCACTAGTCTACACGTCGAGGGGGTTGGGGGGGGAGGTAAACAACTCCGGAAATCCAGTTCTGTGCTGAGAACCGGGTTAACGGCATTAGCCCCTTCTGTTCCCAAGTGTACTACTGAAATCTGATGGTTCACCGAAAGGAAAGAGCTACGGAAAAGAAACCTGTCCATCTGCAGCAAAAGCTGGCTGGCCTCGCATCCCAGGGGTGGGGGCTGGGGAGGAGGCAGGCCCGGAGCTGGAGGCTGCGGGGGCGGAGGAGAGGCCCGAGCTCGCAGTCGGGGGTCGGGGGGGTCGGGGGGTCGGCGGGGGGGGCTGCTCCATCAGGGCGAAAGCTAGCGGGAGGGGAGGCAGGAAGGGCGCGGGGACCCTCTGGCCTAGCAGCTGTAATCACTGTACGGACGTTTCCATTCGGTCTGGCCAAATCTCAGTAAAAATGGAAGTCCAAACCTCGGCCACTCATTTCAGTAGGTGAAAGAGTCGTGGGGATTTTGCAGCAAGTTTCAATGAGCCGCTGCAAACCTCCTCCGCGGCAGGCGCCGCAGCTCGGGAGGCGGAACTCCGGGGAGGGCGCGCGGGTCCCCGAGCGGCCTCCCAGCCTCCCTCCGCCCGGCCCCCGGGGAAAGAGGCGGCGGGGGCTCGGGCCGGGGGCGGGAGCCCGGGGCACGCGTGCCCGGCAGCGATCGCCTGCCAGGGCCTGCCGCGAGGGCTCGGGGACAAGGGCGGGTCAGGAAAAATGGTGGGGAGCGAGGGGGTGTGGACAGGCGCACGGTGCCCAGCAAGCAGGGAGCGCCAGCGGATTGGGTCGCGCCCGCGCCACGGCCCGAGCCCCCAGGAGGCTCCCGTAGAACAATCGAGATGCCGAGCCACCTTTGTCGCGGCCGCCCCCTGGGAGCTGGCTCCGGGGCAGCCCCAGAGCGGGATCGCGGGGAGGGCGTGGTGAGGGCGCGGGGTGCGCGGGGGCGGCGGCCTCCTGGTCGCGGAGTTTGCTTTCTTCTTCTCACCCCGCAGCCCCGAGGCTTCCCTCCCCGGCGCTCGGGCCCGGGACGCCAGCGCTGGAGTCTCCAGGCGCCTCCAGGGCCCGCGGCGGGGCGCTCCCAGGAGCACGCGGTGGCGAGGCCAGAAGAGCCAGGCGGGGACGGCGACTCGGGGCCGCAGGGCTCTGCCGTGTGCGTCCCGGGCGACCGGCCAGGCCCCCTCGGCTCCCCGCGCGCTCACCAGCGGCTCCGCCCTGCCAGGCCCCCCGGAGGCCGCGACTAGGATCGCACAGAGGCCTTGCCACGTTCCTCGGGGTGCCCCCGGCCAGCCTGCCGCGTCCTCCCCCCACTCCCGCCTCCCACGCGCTCGCAGCCTCAGTCCCGCCGCGCCCCGAGCTCCCAGCGGCCCCGCACTGTCCTCCTTCCCTCCGACAGCTCCACGGCCCCGGGGGGGCAGAAGGAAAGCGACACCGACCACCTCTCTCCTCTCCTCCTCTTTCCCCTTCACCGCTAGAGGTCAAAAACTGCTGCCGCGTTCCCCGCCAACAACCACCTCGGAGCACGCGAAGATGCAGCGTTAAAAAGAACAGAAAAAATAATTCAAATCTGGAAACGGCTGTCCCCACCCTTTGAGAGGCGGGGACAGAAGTGCCCCGAGTGCTCGCTGCCCAGGGCGGCTGTCACCGGGAGGCCCCGCGGGGACGCGGCCCGCCGCGGAGAACACACCGGCCCCTGCGCACAGGACCCCGACCAAGCGAGCTGGCAACCCAGTGCCCTCCACGCGCCCCTCCCCGGCCAGCGCCCGAGCCTCCGCGCTGCCCGCCCGCCAGGGTGGGTGGGGAGAAGAGGCAGGGAGTGGAGGAGGAGGTGAAATAGGAAATGGGGAGCTGGGGATGGGAAGGGAAGGCAGAGAGAAAGAACGCCCTTCCCCAGTCTTTCACTACCAGCGAAAGCGAAAAAGAAATCGGCCTGCCGATAGAACACTTTTCAGCCTAACCCCATCAGTGTAGAATCCTCTCCGGCCGCCTCCCCGCGTCCGCGCACACAACAGCCTCACCGCCGAATGCTCTGCGACAACAGGACCTCCAGTTTGACTTTCATAGAGACTATTGGCGATGCGAGTTTCTATCAGTTCCAGCTGATTTATTAAAATTGTCAAGATACAGACTTCCAGCACAAAAAAAAAAAAAAAAAAAAAAAAAAAACGGCAATGATGTCGACAGTGCATTGAGTCTGCTTTGCCACCATTTGCTACAAAATATGCAGATGGTCTGTACTTTATTTAGATTATATTGCACAAAATGAGAAACTTTTTAAACTATGTGCCTTTTTTTTTTCTTTTTTGCTAAAAATCGAGAATCCAGTTTCAAACCTTCCATCTGGGGCCCCATCCACATCACAGCGTATGAGATACATAAAGTCCTACTATAGTACAGTACATATACAATCTTTAAACTAAGATAACAGCTCTGAGGTCTATATCACCATTTTCAATAAATCTTTACCTACAAATATTGAACAAATCTCTACTATAGCTGTACAAAAAAAAGTTTGCTTTTTTTTTTTTTTTTTTAAACCACAAGGCCTTTAGATGCAAGGATTATTTTAAAATTTTAATCCTTTTTAAACCAGGACATAACGTACCAACATACTTGCATGCTAAAAAACAGAGGAAAAAAAAAGAAATCAAAAGGGAAGAAGTGCCTGAAAGTCTTACTGAAAAAACACAGCAAGAATGTTCCCTTTTCACTGTACAAAAATACGCCTGAAAATATATTAATTTTTAAAAAAGACTGAGGTCTGTTATGTATCAAAAATGTTTCAATACCTTTTGTACTGAGGTCTAGGCTGTCTGGTATTCAATCAAGGAGGTATAAGGGAACAAGTTACAAAAAAAAAGTTGGCAAGTAGAAATCACATTTGTAAAACCATAAACAATTTGATCTGAAAAGTAAACTCTGATCTTAAGTCAGTTCACAGTTTTTTTTTTGTAAGCGTTTGTACAGTCTGCATTTTTTCAAGCTCCCTGCAGTTTTGTTAAGAATCGGATGCATAGAAGACATCAGTTTTCTCCCTCCAAAAAAAAAAAAAAAAAAAAAAAAAAAAAAAAAAAAAAAAAATTAAATTAACAAAAGTTGCAATGGTCCCTTTTTTTGTTAAAATAAAAATCACCAGTTCTTTAAGTTCTCTTAAGGAAAAAAAAAAAAAAAATCTCCACCAACTCCCTAGAGTAACAGTTGTGCTGCCAAAAGGGTCCTCTGCAGACGTCTTCCAGACTTCAAAGACCGACAAGCTTCAAACAGCGCCTTCCGGAGCGGGTCCTGCCTCCCCTCCCCCGCCCCGCCCCCTCCGCCTTTGTTGCAATCACGAATTTCAGGAAAAAGAAATAGTAATTACAAAAACACATTTTTTGGAAAAAAATCACAACTCCAGACTAGGTATGCATCTACCTTGAGACACGAGAAAGGAAGGGAGGGGGACAAAAAAGGACAGGAAAAATGTCTGAAAACTACTCATTTCACTTTAACTCCACCAACATTTTCATCATGTTTTCCAATTTCTTCGCGTCACGACATCTTATCAATATCATCAGCATCTTCTTCTCTCCCCTCCACCCTACCACCGCCACCATCAACACCACCACCACCACCACCATCATCATCGCCACCGCTACAACTTCCTCCCAAGGAACCCAGCTCTGCACCCGCCGCCGAGAGAAAGAGCGAGCGGAGCGCGCCGCGTTCAATACGTGAACACCAGGTCGGAGAAGTTCGCCTCCAGCCAGTCCCCGGCGATCATCTCGCTCAGCTCCGGCGTGCAGTAGTCGGGGAACTCGAAGTGGGAGCCCAGGCTGCCCTCGCTGAACGAATCCAAATCCTTATCCACCAGCGACAGGGACAGGTTCCCGGCCGCCGCGCCGCCCCCCAGCTGCTGCTCGCTGGCGCTGTGCGCGCTTTGGGAGAAATTCAAGCTCAGGTCGAACATCAGGTCGTCGGCGTCCTCGCCGCCGCTGCCGCTGCTGCTGCCGCCGCTGCTGCTGCCGGACGAGGAGGTGGAGACGGAGCGCGAGGACGCGGGCGAGAGCGCGGGCTGCGCGAGCGGCGGCGGGTGCTGCTTGGTGATGTTCTTGAAGCTGTAGTAGAGGCGGCTGCCGCCCCCGCCGCCCGAGGTGGCGCCGGCCCGCACCTCGTCGTACAGGCTCGCGCCCTCGGGGGACTCGGCCGCGCTGCTCAGCGTGGGGCTGGCCGGCACTTTGGCGACGTTGTAGCGTCTCAGCAGCTGCGGCGGCTGCTGGCCCGGCGGCTGCAGGAGCTGCGGGTGCGGCGGCTCCTCGTCCTCCTCGTCCGGCTCCTGCTTGATCTGCAGCTGCAGCTCGTCGTCGTCGTCGTCGTCGTCGTCGTCCTCGTCCAGGAACACGCACTTGACCGTCTTGCCCGCGCCGCCGCCGCCGCCGCCCGCGCCGCTCACGCGCAGGCTGCCCAGCACGTAGTCGTCGCTCGCGCCCCCGAAGTCCCCGGCCTGGGCCGCCTTGCCCGCGCCCGCCTTGGCGCCCGCGGCGGCCGCGGGGGCCTTGAGCTTGCCGCATTTCTTGCTGGAGCCCTTGGAGGTCTTGGCACCGCCCGCGCCGCCGCCCGCGCTCCCGCCGCCGCCGCCGCCGCCGCCGCTGCCGCCGCCACCGGCCGCGCTCTTCTCGGGGCTCTGGCTGGCGCTGGGCTTGGCCGAGGGGTCCATTTTGGGCTTTTTCCGGGGCCGGTACTTGTAGTCGGGGTAGTCGGCCATGTGCTTGAGCCGCAGCCGCTCCGCCTCCCTGATGAACGGGATCTTCTCGCTGTCCTTCAGCATTTTCCAGCGCTTGCCCAGCCTCTTGGAGATCTCGGCGTTGTGCATGTCCGGGGACTGCTCCATGATCTTCCTGCGCTCGATCTTGGACCACACCATGAACGCGTTCATCGGCCGCTTGATGTGGCCCGACGCCGTCTTGCACCAGTCTGGGTCGCTCTCGTCTAGGGCCACCGGGCTGCAAGCCATGAATTCGCCCTCCTCCGTGTCCAGCGCCTCCCGGGGCAGGTTGCTCTCCGCTTCCAAGCTCTCCGCCTGCTGCACCATGATCCGCTGCGGGGCTGGACGCTCCAACCCGGGCCGCTGGGTCTCGTGCGGAGGTCCCCCTCCCCCTCCCACCCCTCCACCTTCCTGGGCAAGTTGCAAAGTCCTCGGCACCCCGCTTCCGCGGCTCCCCCCCTCCCCCCCGCCCCCCCTTCCAGGCTGCACACAGCGGCTGCGGTGGCTTCGGCGGCGACGGCCGCCGGCGCGCTGGGAGCTGCGGTCGCAACGGGAGAGGCGGTGGCGACGGCGGTCGAGGCAGCCCGGGACCCCTCTCTCCGGCTCGTGGCTCCCACTGCAAGCGCCGGACCCCGAGCTCTCCCAGGCGCGCGCGCTCCTTCTGCAAAAAGTTGAGGTCTCTCTCCCAACTAGTTATCAGGGTGTCATATGGGTGACATCACTCCCCCGGCCAGCCAATGGCTGCGGGCCGGCTCCTCCCACCTCCCGTTATTAACTCGGAGGCCCCGCCCCTCCACCCCGCCCTCCGGGCTGCTGGGCGAAGATGGGGGTGGGGGGAGAGGAGGCATGTCTAGAAATATGTTATTTTTAAAAAATCCGCGTGTGTGCACAGATGCGCCTCTCCCCGGGATGCTCGGGAGCGGCGCGCTGCACCACGCGGAGCCGGTGGTCGGGGGCGAAACCGGCTGGTCCCGGCGCCGGCGCGGACCCAGGACCGGGTCCCGGGAGAGGCCCCGCGCGCCTTTGTGCCGGGTCCCCGGGAGGCCCGACGGCGACCGCGGACGGGGCGCGCTCCCTCCCCGCGTGCACACACTCGGGCACGCGCCAAGCCTGAGACGGCGGCCTCGGCCCGGCTCCGGGTCTGCTGCGCCCTGCCCGCCCCGGGGTGGGCGCATCTGCTCCCCGGCGCGCCCCCCGCGGGGCTCGGCCGCTCCCGAGCGCCCCCGCCCCGAGCCCGCCCGAGAGGCCCGCGGAGGCCCAGGCCGACGGAAGGTGGCGCTTGAAGACAACAACCTTCCCCGCACGTGGGCTCTGCTCTCTTTTTCCCTTTCTCCCTTTTTTGTAAGGCAAAGAAATCAATTTAAAGCTCGAGAGGCGGTGAGCTCCCTCCCCCGTTTGCATTTTTCTGTTTTGTCCTTTTTCTCCGTCTGTTTTCCCTCCTTGGTGGTGTTTGGGGACGCCGCGGTGCGGGTTGGGCTGCGCCGCGCCCCCGAACGCCCCGCCCCGGGCGGGGGCTGGAGTAACGGTCTGCGGGGCCCTCGGGTTCGAGCTGGCCACTCCCAGGGCGGGCTCCGGAGCGGGTCCGTGTCCCGCAGGCTCCAGCACGCCCGCCCCCAGCCCGGCGTCCCCGCGCAGGGCCCGGCGCCCCTCTCCCTCCTCCCTCGCCCCTCCCCTCCCCGCCCCTCCGCCGCTCCCTTCTCCTTCCCCGGCCTCCTGTTCCTCTTTGTCCTTCCCCTTCCTCGGTCGCCAGCGCCTCCCCGGCAGCCTCGTCCTGAAACCGTGCAATTGTGAGCTAGGAGCCTTCTGGGGCACTCACAAACCAAAGAGGAAAGAAGGTGCATGCGGGTTTCCCGTCCAGATCTGTCCCTCGGAGGTGGGAAGGTGGGCGGCGGCCGGGGGCGCGCGGGGCTGGCAGAGCAGCCTAGGACCCCGGCGATCGCGCCGCGTTCGCCTCCTTTGTGTTTCTTTACCGAGTCCCCGTTACCTCTACGAACATGCTGGGGGCAGTTGAGAAGCGCCGCTTCCTGGGTCCTGCCTGCCGCCCTCCGCGCCCTCTCCACGCCCCACAGCGCCGGGTATCTGGGAACTTGGAGCAGTTCCTAAGACGCGGCTCGGCTCCCTTCTCCAGAGAAATCCGCTGTGGAGGACTGGGAACGTTATCCACATCTGCTTCCTTTCAGGTGCCCTTCCTGCAAATACTACTACTTTCCTTAAATATTGGAGCTTCTCTGAAGACTCTGATATCATGAAATAATACCATGTTTTCCTCAGATCATTATTTGAAAAAATTACCGCCATCGCTATAACCCGTTCCCGCCCCGCCCCCCCCCCCCGCCCCCCACTCATCCTAAAGAAAAACACTGCATTGAATGCTTGGAATATTCAGACGAATTTACATCTTGATAATGCTGGCAATTCATTCCTTTCAGGGCCATAGGAACCAAAAGAATTTACAGTCACTCATGCTAGGTGACTTGAAGTCTGGAGATGTATAAAATCCAAGGCAGTGTGTGAAAATTCATCTTCACTCCCGCAAGTCGAGCACTGTGTCTTGCTTTTCTCTTACCTGACACGGTTCCCAGCTATTGGGAACTCCACGCGAGGGAGGGTGGGGTGGAGCGCAAGGTGAACCTACACCCCTCTCCCCACAGCGGCGGGACAAATCCACACTCTCTCTAGAGTCTAGAGAGAGGCACTGAGATATTTTAGCTCAGTTCATTATTTGCTTGCAAAGTATGAGGGCACCTACCATTTTGGCCTCTGAAAGAAAATCTATTTGAATATCTTTGGCAAAGTCCGTATTTATTTGCTATCTTTATGCTATACCAAAAACTATGTTTAGCTTTAAAATGAGAATGATCTGAGTGCAGTAGGAGTGAAAAATAATAGATTTTATTCTCATAGTGCTGCGATCTTTTTAGAGGAAATAAAAGTTAAAACCTGCTCTTTCAAACACATGTAATTTCTGTTCAAGGAAACACGGGCCATTTGCTGGAGAAGATAAAGCAAAGACTGGGGTTGTGGCACTGAAGGCGGGCGCTACAGCCATTCTTCCCTGTAATACAGAAGAGGCTGGCAATTTTTGCAAAAGATTAACTAGATAGCTATTTTGTAGCATGGACTCACCCCACATATTTAATATTGTTAGATGTAGTGGACTGAGGCATGAGAAAAAGAATAATCTCTGTATACTTTCTTTTTTTGCTCCCTAAGGGAAAATTTTTAAATAAGTATAACATTAAAAAAAATGGGAACATGTTTGAGTGTATACATGCTTCTTACAGAAATAATAGTGACTTCTGAAAACAGATGTGTGCCACATCAACTTTAACCGACTATTTAGAGGAATTTTAAGCTTCTAAATGGAAAATATGGCCTAATAATGCACCTCTTGAAAGTCTAATTTAGCAAAATGGAAGCATATCTGCTATTTTTTAAACCACTGAATGCATATAATAATTTGGTTCATTAGTTATCTTTTTAGCACCAATATTCACTTTTGTGTGTCTGTCTACATATGAATACCGATTTATGAGCAAGATATGTAGTTTTTCTATTGATCATAAACATTGTTGGATCCATAGTGTTCAGAATTTGAAGAGTCACATTTGATTAGAGTCACAAATGACTATATTTTATGGTTATTATTATCTTTTCATAATTCCATCTTTACAAAGAAAACTTCACTTAAAAGGACTATTACATAAGGAGATAAGATATTTCACAATATCTCTCAAAATTATAACAACCAGAATAAGAAGTGTCCCTTTTTTTTTAGGAAAGAAGCATTTCTAAGCAAATAATATGCTAAAAATACCACTGGGTAAATATTTGACTCATTTGATTGATTGAACACCATTTTTAGAAGCATTCCAAACACATGCATGAAATGAAGGCAGGGTGCTTTCCCATTTTTCTCCCCTTACCTATTCTCCTGAAATGAGTTCACTCCTCATTGTTCAGCTCTATCTTTTTATCTCAGCTTCAGCCCTAAATTCTGAATTTGGATCTGAATATCTTCTGTCTACTGGACATTCCTTCTTAAATGCTCTTCAGACCTGGTAATGAGTATAGATTGAACAACCTTACCTGAACGAACACACACACACACACACACACACACACACACACACACACATCCCCAATGAATCAGTGAATGCTTAACCCTGTTTGATTCATCAAAACATGCTTCCATAGCTAAAATAATGTTGTTAATCTTTTCACTGATTTATTCTATGAATTACTCCACTAGAGAGTGTGATCCATTGAAACCAGAGCAGTTGGGCAGTATAGCACAGGGCAGCGGCTTTGAACTTTATTTTGATCATGATCTATTTTATAAAGCACGCTTTTATATCATGACCCAGTACTGAAGCTATACACATATAAAGCAGAAACCAGTGTCACAAATCAACCTCTCTTATGTGCAATTCATGCTATATTTTTATTCTTTTCTGTTCCATTCCATTTATTTAAATGCTAGTTAGAACCCACTGAATTGCACTGTTAATGAGGCACCATTGAAGTTTGAGAACAACGGGCTTAGGTGTGCAGAGTTACAGCTCTGAAGTATTCTGCCTTAGATTGAAAATTCTGGTTCCAGTATCTTTTCTCCCCCGGCCCCATGGCTCTCATCATGTACCCTTTGACTTTTAGTTATCAATGCCCAGAGAATTCCACAAACCTGCTGCCTCCAAAATTCATATCTTTTTAAATTATTTGTGTGAGAGATATATTGTATTTTTTAAAATGGACTTTATTTTTTAGAGCAGTTGTAGGTTCACAGAAAACATGAATGGAAAGTAGAGAGCCTTCTGCATGCTCTGTATCCCGACACGTACACAACCACGCCCACTATCAATGTGCACCACCACAGTGCATTTGTTATGATCAGTGTACCCGCATCGACACCTCGTAATCATCCGATGTGCATAGTTCACATTAGGGTCCACTCTTGGTGTTGTACATTCTGTGGATTTGGAGAAATGTGTAATGGCAGGTCTCCGTCACTACAGTGTCATGCAGATTATTTTCATGGCCCTAAGCGTCTGTGCTCCACCTACCTATTCATCCTTCACCCTCCCAACCCCTGGCACCAACTGATTATTTTACCATGGCAATAGTTTCGTCTTTTCCAGAATGTCAAATATATGGAACCATGCAGTATGTAGCTTTTTCAAATTGGTTTCCTTAATGATATGCATTTTATGTTCTTCCATGTCTTTTTATGGCTTAATAGCTCATTTCTTTTTGGCAATAAATAACATTCCATTGTCTGAACATACCACAGTTTATCTATTCTTCTACAGAAGGACACTACGGTTGCTTCCAGGTTTTGGCAATTATGAATAAAATCTGGTATAAACATCCCATGCAGGTGTTTGTGTAGAT